GCGAGCGCCTCAACACAGGGGACTGCGGCGAGGCCCATGACCATCCCCAAGAAGCTAGTGGAGATCCACCGGGGACCGCCACGGATGAAACTGAGGAGCCAGACTGGAGCCGTGACAGTCACGATGAGGCCGACGAGGGGAACAACGTGGATACAGCCAACCATGACATATCGGAACCGCCCCGCTGCACATGGGGCTCCAGACGGCCGGCGGAACCAGAAGGCACACCGCCACCAAGGCCTCCGAACGGCTACACAGGCAGAGAGGCTTCGCCTGTGGAAGAGACCCGCACTGAGCGCAACCGCCGCGCAAGAGCGGAATGGCGCCAATGCCGACGCCTACGCCGACGCATGGGACTTGAACCAGGCTACTTTTACCCGAGCGGTGCGGAGCAGTGGAAGAGGAGAACCTGAAGAGGGGAGAGCAGCCCTAGCGTCAATAGGAACCACAGACCCTTTCACCAGCATCCAAAAGAGCCGGGGCCTGCGTGTGTGACGTTCCCTTTGCACCCCGTTTCCTGCCCTTCGTGCTTCCTAACCCACAGGCACCCGGCTCAGCCACAGCACCACCGCCATCGGCACGGGGACCTCCCCAGGTTGTGATGTTCCACTATGTCTCTACTTTGTCCCTTTACGTGCTTTCCCAAGGGGACCCGTGCCTGCACACACCTCCACATGTTGACCACAAACCCGAGCAGTGATAGCAACTGAACTCAAACCACCCGAGGTTACCACAAAGTGCCCTTCTGTTCCTCTTGTCCCTAGAGAGTACGGCTTTCCTGTAACTGTGTTTCTCGGGAACCTCGGGGACTTCAATGGTACACAGTACCGAGACCGGCCGCCTACAACGATAGGTGCCCGTGCAGCTACAGCACAGTTAGGAGGCGGGAGCAGTCGCAAAGGACCAGGCGGGGAGTTTCCCCACAAGCAAGGGATAGTTGTTGTTGGCGGAGATTGCATGGGTTGCCTAGGGAGTGCGAAGGGGCTTCAACCGCCGTTCTGCCACTGTGCTGCTCCTTCAACGTTTCACACCGAGCGCAGGGGTGCTGGGGTCTCCCCCATGCCCCCAAACGCCCAGCAAGCACGCAAGCAAGGAGAGAGTGAGAGAGAGAGGGAGTGAGTGATGCTTGTTGCCCTTGCCCGCTGCTTCCACCCTCGGGGACCCGTGCCTGCATACAGCCAGCAGCAGCACCACAAACCAGAAAAGTAGAAGTCCGGTGCCAGCACCGCCGCGAGGGGCAAGGGGACACCAAGTCGTGGTTTGAGTAGCTGTGTCTGGCTTGTTGACACGTTGTGCCGTCTTGTTTCGACAAGCACCCTTGCCACCTCGAAACACAGAGACCTTGAGGCCGGCAAACAAGGCCCAGAATGCCGACAAGCACCCGAACCTGTAGCCACCTGCCACAACAGCTAGCCACAGCACAGAGTGAGATTCGGCACCGGCCTGCACGCCAAGGCGTGGTCGAAGGGTTGAGTAGGGTAAGGTACGGGGCATGGGAAAGGTTCCGGGCAACAGGAGACATGGACCTCGGCGTAGCGCGTGAGCGCTGCAGGGGCTAGGTCTTGAGGGGCCTACTCCAAACGTCGTGCAAGCAAGCAAGCAAGGGAGTGAACGTCCAGCTTGCAAGATCTGGCGATTCGAGGCAGCATGTTCACCCTCTATGTCAAATTGGCTCGGCAGGTGCAATCCTTAGAGCCTTAGAGCAGACCACTGAAGTGATGAACATAGAACTTACCACACGTGATGTCATGTGAGTGACCCAACTGCCAGGGTTCTGCTCTAGAGTTGGAAGTGGCTCCAACAGACAACGTGGCATACCTCAAGGTACGAGCGGAAGGCCGTGTCACTGCAGCGATGTTGCAGACGCAGCACTGCTACCAGGCCCAGATCGCAGTACACGAGGGAACGCCGCCCGAGAGCCAGCGGCTGGTCGTCGCCGGTGCCACAATGCAGGAAATCTTGGCAATGCTCGGCTCTTCTGCAGCCTCACTAAACGCGAGACAGGACGAACGATCACTGACTAGCTACGGGCCCGAGCCTTGGGCATGGCAAAGTGAGCGCATGACATTGTAGCTGAGTTATTGAATATAGTAGCTTCAGTCTGAGTCTTACGGTTTGTGAAGGCAGCCGTGGCAGGCTATCCTGAGTTCAAAGGCTACCAGAGACATCGGGACGTTGACTCCCCGATCTCGATCCACAGCAAAGATCACTCACCTGACGTGCGTCTGCTGCCATCAGCAATCTGCCATAGCGATGAGTCTTGACTGCCAGATCACGGATTTCATACGGACCGCAATCTCAAAAGTGACTACTAAGATCTCCCAGGCATTTCTATCCGCATCTAGCAGCATGATCTGAGGGTCATCGTTCAGTATGATGTATGGCTCAGGCTGCATCACGGCGATTCAGTGCTGCTTGTTCCATGTCTGCGAGACCAGGCTGGAGCTCCAAGCCGTTTCATCTAAACTGTTGATATCAAAATGTTTGCAAAGGAGACCGCTGAATTTCTGAATGGAAACTTTTGAATCACGGTCACAACTGGGAAGTTGGAGTTGGAGCCATGTGAACAGCTTGAAACAGACAATGCATGCGAAAATAGCACAAAAGACAGAATTTGGGCGCAGCGCGTGGAGTGGCGGATGACTCCTTGTGAACAGCAGGCGTATGCATCGAGCAAACACACATGCACTCGCATGCACGCCCGCCTGCCCACCCAACCCACCCAACCCACCCACCCACCCACCCCACCCACCCCACCCACCCCACCCTCCCCAGCCACCCCACCCACTGTTCTGTTGCTCACACGAAGCGTGGCTCGGACAAGTTCTGAAACTCGATACGTCTGTGCATGACCCATAAAGACAAGACAAGGGGCCACATCTGAAGTCAATCAAAGTTTGTTTCAGCCTTACTGTCCACGACCATGCGCAGACTGGTTCACCGTCTGCTCCTCTAGAGTCCTAGAGAGGAACGGAAAGACCTTCCTCGGAGTTGCTATGGGAGCGGGTCGCGAGGTTCGGCAAAGACCAGCATGCTTCGCTCCGCGGGGCCTACTGGCTCTTCCGGGCAGCAAGGAGCCTTGCCCAAGACTTGCCAAAATATCGGCTGCCTTTACAGCCGTGGGACATCTCTCAATGCAGGCCTGGTCCCCCTCTTCGCGAGCTCCATTCCTGCCCGTCCTTTTCGCCGATGATCCTCCCCTGCAAAAGCATGTAAGGCGAGAGTGACGGCCACGACGATCGCACTCAGGTCTCGCGCAACTTCCCGATCAGCCTAGAGTTCACCACCGTCGCAGACTGTGAGGCCACCTTGACATAGGAAGGGAAGGCAAATGGAACGAGTAACATGCAACAAGTTTCGCTTCGTGCTCTGCATGATTGTCTTGCTTGGGGAGTTTCACGTTGTGATGCGCCTTAGTGCCCACAGTATCCCCAAGTACTTTCACCATACCACGCTAGTCGTGGACACCTACCAGTCGCTGCCTTCAACATGCCGAGGGATTCGGTGAGATGTAAACCTGTGCACTTGAGAACGCGATCTCGAAAGATCCACTGAAGAAGCACCGGCTTCCTGAAGACTGTTCTGCTTGGCTCAGGCTTTCGCAGAAGCGGCCAGGTACGCCTGGAGCCTGGTTCACATTGGTCGCATATGGCTGCATTTTCCTGACATGTTGCCTTTGTGTAGATGCCGCCGGCAGCCCCCCAGACCCCACATTTCCGTCCTTCGAACTAGTTTCTGGCTGTCAAGGCGCCACCCTGGCTGGAGATATTGCAGCGCACCTGGTGAAAACTAGCTGTTGATCACGAAAGCATGTTTTCAGGAGCTTGCCTTGATTTGGGCCTGGGTGGGATGAAATCAACCGTTAAATTCATGCAGCCGTTGCGGTCCCGATGCTCCCACCCTTTTAGGTGGAGTTATCGCACACCATGCGCCTGACTAAAGTGACGCCCGCATACCTTCCACCCTACTGCCCGCGTCAAGAGCCATAAATGGATTTTCCGGCAGCACGTGTCAGAATATCAAAGGTTTTGTCAGGGATATAGAAAGCTTTTGTCAGGAATATGGCAAGGTTTTGTCAGGAGCAAGGTAAGGTTTCGTCCGGAATCATGTGTGATTTTGTCAGAACCATGGAGGTTTAGGGTTAAAGGGTGTGTTTAGCGTTTGGGGGTTAGGGGTTTAGGGGTTTGGGGGTTTAGGGGTTTAGGGGTTTAGGGTTTAGGGTTTAGGCCCATTCTGCTAGATTCGCGCCAAGCAAAATTCCTGACAACACCTTGCGACATTCCTGGCAAGACCTTTCCAGTTTCCTGACAACACTCAGTGATATCGTGTGGTTCCCGACAAACTTTTCCACTTTCTGATGCTGCGCAACCCTTCTACCCCTCTGCTTCAGAGCAAGGAGTGACTCACAGGTTGGAAAAACGCGAGTAGTTCCTCACTGGAAACACTGGCCCACCTATTGGCTCAGTGTTTCGTGGTCAAGCCAATCCAACAGATGCCGGACAGCCAACGTGCGCTGCTTGCGCCTCCCGTCACGCGTGTAGTCCCTGCCATATCGTCATGCACTAGAATTCGTAGCTCTATTCTCCTAATTTTGGCCATGCGACACTCGAGTACAAGTAGTTTTGGAAAGCTTGTCGAGTCCATGTCAAGCTATCGGACCGCGGCTTTGCACTCTGCACTTAATAGGCATGTCAAAGCCTGAGTATGATGGTCTGAAGTCCGGTGGCCCCTCTTTGCATCGAGTGAACCCTCAACATTCCTCAACCCATAAAGTTGAGCTTGACTTCTGAGGCCAGGCGGTCCTGGTCGGCCACCGGCAGAGGCCATCAGTGACAGCTGTGGTGTACTTGTGTGTTCGGCTCGGATGGTTTTGGATCCGAGGCCAAGTGCAGATTGGACCCTGATCATGGGACCGTGATTTTAGAGGCAACCGCAGCACGGACATGGGCTGGTAGCAGCTGGGCATAGCAGGGCCCTCGGGACAGAAAGCAGCACTTCTTGTTCAGGCAACGAGCGGCAGAGTGTTTGGACCAAGCACGAGCTACAAGGCGATTCGGTGCGATTCGACTAGCTTTGAACTTAGATGCCGTGTCTGCCAGGCTGTTGCTCATTTTGGTGGCCGAGGAGGGCAGGTGGAGGCAAGGAAAGGCTGGAGATAGACCCAGCACGAGTTTGACGGACATCCTCATGCCGCAGGTTTCCGTGGTGACTGGTGCTGCAGTGTCTGCATGCTGAACAACAGCACGGCTGCTACTATCAGCCAGTAACATTGAATGTGCTTCTCCGATTGCACGGATACGATTAGTCAGTCAAGGTAGTAGCGGGGAGGAAGTCATGCCAAAGGCTAGGATAAATTGTCGACAGATTGTCGAGTTGTCGGTCAACGAAGCTCAGAGAATCTGAGTTGCAGTGAAACAGGCGTGCCACAGCAGAAAAAGATAAGGGGACCGGGAAAGACATGATATCAGACTCCTTCTGTGGAGTCATCGGCTACCCCCATGAGACTGGTAGATTCCTGGTAGATGCTTTGCGATACAATGTGGAGATGGATCAAAAAGGTCTATCGTCCGCGTCTCACTTCAAGTGGCACTTAGACGATTTGTGAGTTCTTCTCATCCGCGTCATGAGAGTTCACCGTGTCACCTGTGGAGGGCTTGCCATGTGCAACACAGCTGGGCATCCCCACGAATCTTCGGTCCTAGACTAGTTCCTGCTTGAGTGAGCGCACCGGAGGAATTCTGCATCAAAGTGAAAAGTGAGACAAGCTCAAGCTGCAGAGCAAATACTGCATTCACATCGCTTCTTATTCACCTGTGCCTTGCACGGTGAGCTTCGGAGGTGGCTCCCGGCGTGGACGCCATGATCGTACCTGGTTCAGGGTTGGCCGCTGCCCGTCGCTTCATGCCCAAACCCCAGTCTCCTGGTTCCTGTCGACGAAGGTCAAGAAGCAAGCAGAGGCCGAGGGGCTCGACAAGATTTTCGTAGAGGCAGGCGACTGCGCAGGTGGCATCCTTCAAAGTACTCCTTTTCATACCAGGCTGGCTTTGACTGGCGGGAACCTGGCTGTTCCATGTGCCTCGGCATGAACCCGGATCGTCTCAAGCCGCAGGAGCCTTGCAGCATGGCAGCAGTGTGTCTGTTCCTGGTGCTCTCAGCTGGTGCGAGGAGCGCTGTGCAGCAACTTCAAACAGAAATTTCGAGGGCAGACAGGCAGGAAATTGGAGCCCCAAGTCCGAACTGCACAAACACATGCGTGTCAGGGACCACAGGGTCGCACTCACCTGATGAGTCTGTGCCCAGTGCTGGTGTGGCCTTTCGCCTTGTCCCGACTTCCGGAATCTCAGGCCCTGCAATGGCGGCAGCTGCCGCCGTCACTGGAAAGCTGAAGGAGACTCGGGGTAGGCATCGAATCCATCGAGATGCCACGAGTCCTTGCTTGCCAGGACGTCCGAGAGCTATTGCCAGAAATGCAAGCTGCAAATGGCTAAGCCAAAGCAGCACCCATTGGGGGGGGCAGCGGGGCGTGGATCTCTCCACCGGCATCCAACTGAGCTGACCGAGGCAGCCAAGACGCACGAAGCAAGCAACAGCAAGGACTTCAGTTTCTGGCGCTTTGTTGTCGACACACCTTAAATTCCCTGGATGTCTTAATGTGTCTTGCTCCTTGCAGGATTTCTATTCCGATCCAATTGAATGGAAGAAGACGCAGGAGACAAGAGCATGTCCGAAGGGGCTTGGGCTTCACTTCTCCGAAGGGTGGAGTTTCAGGAGACGCCGTCCGAGCAAGCCAGCGCGGGCATGACGGGTGGGAGCCTCGGGCGCGGCTCCTGAGCCAGCTTTTTAGATGCGGGCACAGGCACGGCTCCGGCTTCCGCAGGAATGCCGAAGTTTACGAGGTACGTTGCGGACGCTGTTGCACGTGACGCCTGAAGCCCTCCTCTGCTGCGCGCCTGCAGTTTGAACGATGTCATCGCTTGCCCGTTGAGAAAAGCGAATGCCGGCAACTTGATCACCTTCTGCATCCAAAGTGACATGCGATGTTTCTGGTGCTCAGGTCGACACGGATTGCATCATTCCGAAGCAGTTTTTGAGCCTTATCTTATCGAAGCACGTTTCCGACAAAGTATACCATCTGAGAAAGTAAGTCACTACTGTAGTAGCATGTGCAGACCCTTGCTTTTCCGGCATTTATCGCTTTTCACGCGCGAGCGCCAGCCAGTGTTCATTGTACCTGTTTAAACTCCTACTTTGCATCTGAGAAGAGCAGGGGTGTTTGAGATATCTGACTCTGTATACGCATTTCTCTGTTCAGCCGCTGTCAAACTCTATCCAATCTCGGAGCAGCATGCCTACAGCGACAAAAAACACTGCTTTGAATGTTGGAAGGTGCTCAAGGAACATCGTATTTGGAAAGCCTGATTGTTGGACCAGGGTAGCACGCGGGACAGCTGGTGTTGGATGGTCTGGGAGGAGGGAGTGGTTTCTCTTTCGCTCTCATGGGACAGACCTGGACAGCTCGTGTAGTGCAAATTGTTTAACTATGGGCGAATTGCAAGTTGGTTCATGCAAAGTTTTCGATGCAAAGAGAGAGCTCTGGACGAAAACCTGAGTGTGAAACGGGTTTGTTTCGACAGAACCGATCCGCCAATCTTGCGGGTATCCCGACCTGTTACATCTGTTGGCTTTCTGCTGATTTGGAAGTTGCAGGGAACACCGGAGACAACCATCAACGATCATGCAGCTGCAAGCACGAGAGTTTCCTCGGCTCAGGAAGACCATCAAAAGAACTGGGCTGTTCGCTCGGAATGTGTGCTGGTCATAGGGTTTGGCTATCTCGGTAGGACACACATCCAGGCTGGGCAAAGCTGCGTTTTTCGAGCTCCGGTATGAGGCATGGAGTCGACTACCCTGAGAGCATCCGAAAAAGACACACGGATCTGGCAAGCACTGCATGCCGCAATTTCCGAGAGGACGATGGTGTCACAGAGAACAAAACCTTCATTCTCAACCAGGAGAAGCCATGTCTAGTTCAAAACCATTCAAGCGTATCCAGAGCTGTTTGCAGGAGCCGTACAGAACATCCTCAATTCTCATTGCTGGTGACAACTTCGGTCCGCTCACTCACCGAGCACTCGACGTTCCTAGTTTGCCGTCCCAACTGTGACACTCTAGGATGTGGCTCATCACGCGAGCATGCGTATTGAGCTCGTTTTCTCCGGCTTGGGGTGACCGAAGATCTGGCACCGAAACCTGGGATCTCTAAGGCCATGGGCTCTGAATGATCAGGGCATCCGCTGCATCATTGCACCTAGCTTCGCAGACATCTTCTTCAATAAGTGCAGCCTGCATGGTTGAATATGTTGAATGGAGGGCAGACTGTAAGACATGGACGGATCCCTGGCCCCAGTTGCTTCAAGAACGGGATGCTGCCTATTGCCGTGACGAAGGCGCGTGACGTGCACGGGCGGGATCGGCCGGGATCGGGCGGAACAGTGCACACCGCCAGCAGTGGCAAGCGGCTGCAAGCGTTGGCGCGCCAGCGTGAGTTGCGGCCTGGAGCTGACAGATCCTGACAGGATGTGGTGGAAGAGCTCTGGACGCACTCCGAGGCTCCTAACACCCGTAGACGCCCGGTTGCAGCTTCGAGCTCTGGATGCCAAGCGAGGCACACAAATTGCTGAGCGTCGACCTTCAGAGCCAGGAAATCAGAAGAGAAGGCTGCGAGGTACTCCGCCGATCACTGCGGAATGGGGTCATGCGAATGACTGCAGTTTCTACTGTCCTTCCTTGGCTGTGAGGCCATCAAATTTGAAGTGGACCCGTTTCGGAAGTGCAGAGCTCGAATTAGCATCGCGACCTCTGCAGCCTTCTGCCTCTCGGCTGCCGAGGCATTGCTTGCTGAACGGACTGGATGACATAGGCCAGGGGCCTTGAAGAGCTGGTGTCAGAGGCCGCGAGTATATCCTGTGTCCGACCCCAAGGCTTGACGCTCCAAAAGAGTGATCACATCGACAGCTTTGAGGCTCGGCTCTGCCGCTGCTGCAACTTCTACGCGGCTAGAAGAATTGCTCCTCTTGGTGGCAAGGCGAGACGGAGCTCCATGTTCCCTTGGTTGGTGGCATCCCGAGGTTCTTCAGATTCAACCGAGAGCATTGCTATTCTGGCCAAGGACGGCCCAAACTACAGCAGATTAAAGGCGGAAGTTCGCATTAGCACCACCAAGGCTCAGCTTGGATAGTGCCAAAGCGAAGTGGGCTGCATTCAAGCCGAGAATTTTGTCGACAGCCTGCTTGCAGTCCGCGGCATTCTACACACGCGTGTCCAAGGGATTCCTGGCGAAATCCTCAGCTCCCCAATTGCATTGATTTTACAGCGATTTTGAAGCTTCAGAGGCTGGTCTTGCAGCAAACGATGATCGGCCAGAGCGTCCAGCAGCTTCGCAGGTATAGAGATTGGCAATGTTTATCGGGCATAGGGGCCGGGGTTAGAATCTGGAGCGACAATCGGATCTGTTTCCGTCGCCAGCTCATTCTGACTGCCACTGGCAATGCGATCGAGCGGGCTGTTCGCGTGTCCCAAGACCTTAAGGCCCGGAGATGCTAGAACCTAGGAGTGTGTTCAAGACATGAGCCCGCCCCCTGGTTCTCTTGCAGGCTGAGGGTGAGGTCGATATCTTGAAAGTTCGTACACAGATGGTGCTGCACTTACTTCTTACCGATCGTGGCCTGGCGTGCAGAGAACACACTTGGAGCCTGCATTGGCAGCGGTCGTTCTAGGTCACCGGGTCCAACCAGCGGGCGCAGGTGCCGCAGGCCAAAGCGTTTGAGCTTCAACAGTTCACATGCCAGAGCGACTGTACGAGCAGCTTCAAATCCGACCATTTTCCTAGTAGCTCGTTTGCGAGAGTTCAAGCTGCTTCAGTCGCGCAGATGTCCAAACTGGGGGCCCCCATGCCCATGTCACGTTCGAATTGCGAACGCATGGGGCCAGGCATGAAGGGGCCGGGTGAGGAAAATTATGCCGTGTGTCAAAGTCTGAGATGCTTCCGACTCCTTGCCCCGGGAGTCCCAACGGCTTGTGCTGCATGCTTGTTGTTGTTTCGAGTTTGCTGCTGCGAAATCTGGGATCACTTACCCATTCCTGCCAGGAGGACGATGGACATATGTCATGTCAGAAAACTAGTCGTAGCCTACGACAGCGTTGACATCAGAAGCATTGCACGTGGAGTATCGGAAGTCCACATCTGGCTATGTCATCCCGTACGGCTTGGAATTTGAGGATCGTGCAAGTGGTGCAAGCCTTCCCAGAGGCAGTTGAGCGAAAAACTTGCAGCACGTCAACTTCGAGCTTGCAAATATAGGCCAATCAATGATTGCCGGTCAACATGGACTCTGAGTGGGCATGCCGTGATGCAGCATGTGTGCGCACAACTGCTTGTAGTCTTACTTTGGAACATCTGTCAGTCTCTGTCACTGGTGCGTGAAGTTGCCAACTTCAGAAACTCAACTTAACTGTTATGCAATGCGAGGGGCCTGTGCAGGACGACCGGGAAATCATGCAGCTTGATAGTCAGTTGCCAGGTGTGTGTGACACTGAAAGCGAGGCCGTTGTTGCCTCAGCATTCTTTGCTTGTGGCAGAATTGCAGTAGAGAATGCCGATCCAGCAGCACCGAACTTGGATTCCAGGAAAGCCCGAGCGGTGATTGTCGGCAATGGTGCAACAGCAGGCGCGACACATTCACGGGAATGAAAAGAGTGAGTGTGTACTTTGCATGTTTCCTTCCTGTCCGAGGAAGCACCGCATCAAAGGCTACTGACTGGTAGAAACCTGGGGAAACCTGGCCCCACCTGCAACACGCTACTAGTAGCAATGCATGAAGCAGCCCCGCCGCACCATCCCGCAACTCGTCCTTGACCGCTGCATTCCCTAGGATGTTGCGCAGTTTTTCATCCAGAGCAGACCTGGCAGTAATCTGCTGGCGAGTCGCTCTTGTGAGCATTGACGGCCAAAATGTGGAGAGTGCCGAACCTAGGATTCATCGCCAGGAAATGCAGGACGAGTGTCGAAAGAAAGATATATGATCGCAGGCATCGCAGGGTAAAGTGACGAACACCCCCCTGGCATCCTGCAGTTCCTCAACGCGTTTCCTGTGCAAAGGATGCAGGCTTCTCCGTTTCTTGCAGTCAGCCACCAGGCTGACCACTGTCCCTGACAGGCAAGACATCATGCAAAAGTCATGCATGCATCAAAGATGTTCATGAGTTGCAGCTTTGAGCATATTGTCGTTGAAGCAACCTGAAGCTGTGCAAGGGCGTACTTGTCATGTTTTGATTTGTTTTGAATTCCATAGCAGGCTTGTTCCAGTGTTGGAGAGCCCGCTTCGGATCGGTGTGCCCTCAATGTCTCTCTTTTCCAGATTGGTGGGATTGCCCATTCCTCGCTCTGGACTTGTGTCCACCGCGGCTTCAGCAGGGTAGGATGCATTGCACATGAACAGCAATGCAAAGCGTTATGGACCTGTAGCTCCGATGCTGGCGAACATTTCGACGATTCGAGGACCTCGTGAACAAGTCACAATTGAAGCTCTAGTTACTCTAGTTTGTGGGCAACTCGCTTTCTCTTCCAAAGTACTGTGCTGGCCTTTTGTGCAGAGGCAGGGCGATGAGTTGATGACACACTTGCAGGTGTTCATGGATTGCAGTTTTGGCAGGTGGTCGAGCAAGCATGGACCGCGATGAAATACACCACAAGATGAGCAAGAAGGTTGTAAACTTCAGGGATCTCCGTCCGGCGATCTTGCGGTTCCTAAGGTTGCCCAGCTCACGAAGGTGATTTTCCACTTGAACACGAGAAACGACGAGGCAATGGTCGGCCAGTCCGAAATGACGGGTTTGGCACGACAACCTGGCTATCCTCACGATATCGAGGCTGATCAGCATCTCGCGGCGGTGTCGCAGGCACGGGATTGAGGCTAGAAAAGCGCGATGTGGCACTACTGCACTATTATCTGCCATTTGCTCAGGCGTATGAGACAGAAGTGGAGCAGATTCTTAGAGATGCCAACTCGAAGGTTCGCCGTTTGGCCGAGGCGACAATAGCCTGGAAAGGAAACTTGCTATCACTGGCTTCTCTTCATGTGTGCTCTTCAGGCAGTTGAGTGCGGGGCTGGGAGTGCTTGCAAGGGCAAGTGCTCTAGATGCTCTAGCTCTCTTTTTTGGATGTCAGCCTTCGGCCTCGGCCTTTTGGTCACGTCACTAGGGCCTGGCGAGTGCGTCAGTGCGTCGCGGGGCTTGCGTTGGTTGGCCGACGCTGCATTCCCTGGGCCCTTCGGCCGGTGAGCTGCAAGCCAACCCCTTCACGCTCATGGAAACCTTTGTGTTCTCTGGGAGCCAAGCGTGAGGTCAGGCCATGGAAGCAAAGCTGCAAAAGAGCTGGAGGCTCTCAGGTCGAGCCATGAGGAGGAGAAGCGCCGGCCACTCAGATGTCTCCCATAGCATTGCAACCCAGACCCAGACCGGTTTGAGTATCAGTTGCAGCAGATTTCCGATCTGAATTGCCAGCGGCTCCACGCGCATCTTTGTCAAAACGTGCGAATGCATGTACATGTAGCTGTCGGTCTTTGCGTTTATTCTAGCGTTTAGTGATTGGGATCTGCGGCCGGTCATCTTATTTTCATGTCTGCTTGTGCTCAACATCTCCATCATCTCAGGTGGAACGCTGTCTGTTTTGTTTAGACCTTCATTGAGGTGAAGCTCTGAAAGAGATTCAGAACGTCAAGTCTGCAGCATCTGCCTGTGCCTGAGGTTGTGATGGCCACTTGCCCATTCGTTGACTCTGCTGTGCGTGTGACACAATGTCTCGTAAGGCCAGGGAGAGCAAGAACACCGCCATGTGGAAAGAACGGCTCAGCAACATGAATGCAGAGGCCTGAAGGGCATCCAAGCTCCCTTGCATACTGTTGATGCCCGGAGAGCTCTGCAGGTTCAAGCGGTCAAGCAACAATGCCAAGTGCAGGCTTCACAGTTCAAAGCAGCTTTGGATAGAGTCCAGGCGGGATCCTTGCGCTTCGCGGCACATAGCTCCTGATGTGCTTGCAGTGTTAGCCCCTGCTTTCAGGTCGTTTGTTACAGATACCTGGATAAAAACGTTATCTAGCTGACTAGCTGAACAATTAGATGCTTCTTTCCGGAAGGATGGGCAAGGTGCCGAGCTTTCCGACCTTCGATCGCGTCATGAAACGGAGCTACTCCGACTACATGCTGAGCACGAGGTCTGTGATTGCAATAGCCGGTATGAATAGATGCTAGCTCTGGGCAGGCAGAAGTTCGCAGGATGGCGGAAGCGTCCGAAGCCTCTGCAGCCCTGGAGGTTGGAGATGCTTGTAAGAAGGTGAGCATGATCGTCTTCCGCAGGCAGAGCTGCAAAGGTGCATCGACCAGCAAAAGGCCTCGAGCTGGGGACATCTGGGGAGCAAGAAAGGAGTCGCTGCGCGAAGGCCGACTTCACCAGGGAGCTTGCCGTGGAGCGCTCACGGTGCCAGGCCTTAGCAGAAATCACTTGATAGCCGAAGGCGAAAAGGCGTCAGAGCACTGAAGGTAAAATGCCGGCATGGTGGCACGATGTGGCATGTTGCAGGAGCTTCAGTCGCAGCTTGACAGCGCCAAGCGAAGCTTGGAGGCCTCTCATCACTGCAACGCATCAGCTGTTCCGTGTTCCACGCTTTCCATGCCAGAATCTTGGCGGCAGGACAGTCTAGCTTCCGGAGATGAAGCTCTGAAGGCCAGCGAGTGGGAAGGTGAAGATAGAGATAGTGAGCCACAGAATGCTTCCGAGGCCGCACTTTTGGAGAAGAGCCAACTCAGCGAGCGGCTGAAAGCCGCAGAGGATGAGATGGTGGGGACATTAGGGGAAATGGGGTCTTCACACGCGCTGTGTAGTGGCCCCACCGTTGGTGCACGTCAGATGATTCGAGGCCACTCTCCGGGAAGCCGTCAGTGCAGGCAACTTGGCCTTGCAGAGTCGAGACAAGGACCTCTGGCGATAACTTGGTGTAAACTGCGGCCCTTGTTCCTACGTTCCTGTTCGCCTGTCGCAACAACGTGCAGGACATTGAGCACTTGAAGGAATCCGTGGTTCAGTTTGAGGAGACTTGCAAAGTACTCAAGGCGCACGGCGGCGCACGTCTCTTAGTGGATCTGCATAGAGGCACATAGAGGCTTACCTTCTGGCAGCAGGAGGAAGGAGATGTCCTCAAGAGAAACCTCGTGGATTCGCAGGCTCTCACCACCTTGAGAGAGCTTGAGCGCATTTTTTCAGCTAAGCGGGCTGCCTTTTGAGGATGAGCTTGCAAGACTCCAAAAAAAGCACGAGGCACACGGAAGTTTCGGGATGGCTCTCTGTGCGTGTTTGTGTGCGCAGAGTGTAGACAGAAGCAGGACTAGACAGTCAGAAAGCACACCAGTCGAGCTTCGGTGTTTCTACGGTTCACGCATAGTGTGGACTTTGAGATCCGGCATCCCTGTTGGTTCACGCCGACAGTGTGCATGCCGACCCGAGTGGCGTCACTTTGGCAACAACAAACAACCCACACAAGATTCTGAGCGGATGAACATGTTTTGGATTTTGGACCGTCCGAATTATTTTATCGGTTGCTTCCTCATCCTCCTCCAGGGTCCCAGTCATCATCATCATCGGCGTCACCATCATCAGCTGCATCGTCATGATCAGCAGATCATCACTCACCATCATCTTAACATTATCATCTTCACACGCTGCAGAAAAAATCCTGTCCTGCGAGCGCCTGTCAGCTGAGAGAGCTGGCTAGTGATATATGGCTTGGGTGCGTGTGCATCAAAAGACGTCGGCAAGACGGTGCCTTTTAAACAGGTGGTTTACCTTGCATGCTCCGTTCGCAATATCGAGGATGACAATCAGCCGTGTGGGACATTTATTTCTGTCTTTTTTCAGTCTGGCCGCCAAGATGCGCATGTCCGCTTCGAGCCTGTTGGGTGAGCATTGAATGGCTATGCCAGCTATCTGCAGGCCAAGGAGAAACAGCTGGGATGTGATCCGGTTCAAGTCCTCCTCCCGTAGGGTTAGTGGGTTGCGGTATATTGCGGTGCGGCTCCATGTGCTGTGGAGCCAGATGAACTCGGTTCGGGTTGCGGGGCGCGAGAGGCTGCGGGTAAATTTGTCAACACGGTGATGTAAAGATTGGTGCTGACCAACTGCGATGGCATAAACTGGTAAGGCATCTGGTCCTCCAGCAGCCATAAACTGCTGCCCTTGAAAGCTGCAGTTGTGTAACCTAAAGCGTCGTGCTGTCAACAAACGCAGGGATTCCAAGGGTGCGGGGGATTATGTAGGGTTGTTTAAGTTTCGTGGCCCATCCTGCTGAATGAATGAGAATGCTGTACTTGTATGAACCCCCTTGGGACAAAAACCTGAACTTGAGGCTGCTGGTGCCACGCCTGCAGCAGGTCCTGTATCTCTCAGGTATGTAGTCTGGCCACGTGCCTCCCGCTGGCGTGAGAGCACAGTTTTCGTCAATTTGGGATGCAAGAGACCATTGATTTCGGCGACATCGTGCTGCCGCTGAGGTTCGGCCATCCTACAAGGCGAAGCTGCCTCGAGGGGGCGCTCTGATTGCTCTCACCAGAGTCTGTGGTCACTCTTGTGGAATGCGATCCAGAATCCATACAGGAAGGAATTAAGGTAGCGGCTAGTTTGAACCACATGGAAGGGCAAGGGAACTGCTGGCGTCGGGTCATCGGCAGGCTCAGCACTCGCCAGTCCTGCAGGGGGCGGCTGACCGAGGGAGTGTGTTTTTCTTCATTATTGAATCTCCGCGTGTTGTACAAGCGGTCGCTGAGTATCGATGATGAGCTTCTTTCCCGCATGATTCCACATCCGATACGCCCTCTCTCCGGTTGCACTCAACCATGCGGCTTGTATGATCTTTGATTTGCTCTCCTCGTTCCTACTTTCTTCTGTGCCAGGCTCAGCAGCTCTTGATTCATGGGCGCCAGGAGTAGAAGTTTGAGGGGAGACTTCCGGCTGGGGTCGTCCAGATTCTAGCGATTGCGCCAGTCTTTGGCAACGATCCCAGCGCCCCGTCGGCCTAGTTCTTCATGAAAAGAATTACTGTTGGAGGAACAGTCGCCTCAGTAGACGAGTGGGTCCTGACTCCTGACGTGGCTGGTAGCCAAAATGCGTGGTTGTTGTCCTTGTTGTCGGCGCGGCGGCTGATTGCCCCAGCGTTGGGTCTGCTCTGGTAGGGGCCGCTTCAGGACTCGGCTGTCACCCAGCCGTTGGGGAGTGTGAGTACTTTGAAGTGTTGCTTTATGTGCATGTAGCTTGACACCCACATGTTACAATAAAGGATGCAGTGACTTGAGAGTTCTCTGCGGATAGTGACAATGGGTTTTCCTGCAACCATGACTCCGAAGTGGCAAGGCGCCGCAAGAAGGCTGCTCTCAATAGGGGAGTGATGGGGAGTGTTCGGCATTTGCCTGGCTAAGAACTGCCCTGCGCCTCTGCCAGCGGTGTCTGGTGTTCTGACCATGCTGTCGCCTCCTGACTTGATGCATGCACTTTTGTCTACGCGGTTGCGCAAATGAGACTGCCTGAAGAACTGTCGGTCGCATAAGCGACAGGCCGGCGTGCTTGCTTGTGGATGGCGGTCGGCGTCCCGGTGCTGGTACAGGCAGTACGCCGTGTTGCAGGCGGTAGCGAATGCGCATGGATTTTTCAGTGGGGAAGGTTTCGTCGCATTTTGGACATTGGCGAGTGGCACCCTGAGAAGCTCGGCTGCTACTCGTAGGTTCTTGGCTGGGTCGAGAAGTAGTGTTTAAAGGTTGGCAGCCTGGCTCACGGCCTACTGGAACCTGCTGCAATGTTTGCTGATTCGATGAACGCATGAAACGGGGCTTGCGGCTACACTCCTCCCGTGGTAGTGTGGGTGATATGTGCAAGGGCACGCAGTATGGAACGTAGGTGTTTGGTTAAGAAATACTGTGAGTCTGCTAAGTGAGTTAGCATTGACCCCTCCGGCTACATGGTGCAAGTGCATGATGCTAAAGCAGACACACGCCTTCCACAGGCGGATGCGTTCAGGTACATCGTGTGATGGGGTCCACTGATGGCAGGAGATTTTCTGAGCAAAGTCGTTTCTAACGATTTGCCTGAGGCTGAAATCTCGTCCAATTTGTCTCTTGCAAAATTGATGTGACTTGAACAACATGGCTGCGTGCTCTGATGAGCGCGCCCCTGCTGTGCCGCATTTTTGGCGTGAGCGAACGGTGGCATCATCTGCGATAGGGACTGGAGTCCTGCAATGAGGGAAGATCTACGTTGCCCGGCTAAGGCTTTGCTTGGGGCTCGTTAAGCCGATTGGCCTAGGGCAGAAATCGAAGTCGGGGGCCTATTTGGTTCAGGCATCCAAGATTTGAAGGAAATTTCTCAGTCCTCATCCAGCTGACAGATGCTGTCTTGGTGGAGGTGGGCGTGCAATGCCGGGCCAATGGTTTTGATGATGCAGTGGCACACAACTTCCAGACCGCTACTGGAGCGGTATGACAGGGTACCGCTTTCGATAGGCCGAGCTCGCGTAATTCAGTCATAATTAAAAGCTTCGTGCGTGGTGACTAAGTCTTGTGCAAGGGGGCTTATGGGGTAGTCCTCATTATGGACAGCAAAGCAAAGGTTGTTAAGGCTGTGTTGGATGATGGCCCGCAGCTCTTCAGCACGCGAAAAGAGGTGGCCGTCCTCGCCTCGGAGGCGGCCGGCTAGTTTGCGAGACATTGGCGACAGCTGCTTCGCAATGAGATAGCGTGGTGCAGACAGTCTGACTGCGCTGATCACAGAAATGGCGCTTGAGATTTTGCCTTGCTGGCAAAGTATTCTTGAGGCTTGTGCGAAGAGTGTGGCAAGTTGCCGTGTGGCTGAGCACGTAGGCGCTGATCAGGCTGAGGCGTTTGGGGGAATGCCTTGGCAGCCTCCTCAAGGAGGATACGAATCACCTGCCAATCGGAGCTGGTCAAGTCTGTGGTGTCGATGTCCTGCAGCCGTGCCGTGATGCGGTGGCAAACTTCCAGTCAAATCTGGCAAGTCGATGGGCCTTCCGATAGGTGAAAACATCGAAGGTGTTTCGGCTAGTAAAACATCGGAGGCGTTTGCTAGGAACACACGCAGATGTTTCCGCCACTCTCGAGGGGCTCGAGCTACTTGTGGTGCACACTGCAAAGATGAGCAACGTGCTATGTCCGTGGCCATTGTGCTGAAGAGCCCCACAGCTAATGGGGGCAAATTTGACAACAGCTCATGCGTTCTCATCCTGACATCTGAGCGTGCTACAAGTTGTGAAATGCAGCTTTTGGGAACCGCCCAAGTTTCTGAATGTTAAAATCGACCATGTTGACAAGGCGAACATTCCAACGAACCAAATCGGCTTGCAGGAACTGCTAGACAAATCGCACCGAGATCAGGGACGACTGGAGGCAGTCAAAGCATGCCCTGTGCATCTTGTATGCAGCACTGCCTGCGGATGTGTCACCCGAAGATGGCAGGCGAGTGCTGAAGCAGAGCGGCAGCGCTGGGAGGAGGAACTTAAGGTGAGTTGTGCTCGCTGTCCTGTCGGTGTGGTGAAAGTTTCACAAAGCAGGCCGCAAAGGAGCGTGAAGCATCGCTCAAGGCTGAACTCGCTTCCCGAAAAGCGGCCGAGGCACGTGGAAAACTTCGGAACTATCGGAAGGTTTTTGCATCGCTTCAGGCAGAGTTGGGCCTCGAGTTGGCGAGGGAAAGGGAAGAGGTCACCCTGATTTCAGCATTTTTCTTCCGTGCTCGGCCTTTGGCTTGGGAAGGTGTCTAAGGCGCAGGCTGAATTGAAGAAACAGGCGGAGGAGCTTGGACGCCTTCAGAAGGCGCCGGGGCAGCTTTGCGGGGATTTGTGGTTTCTTGGCGTTCGGTCTTTGGGTTTTCGCAGGCCCTCGCCGACGCAGAGGCTCGCCGAGAGGAGCTGGCTCGTGAAGGTGGCTCCGAGGTCCATCGACTGCAGGCGCCTGCACTTCTGGAGCCTCAAGGATTGATCGAGCGGCGAGCACATATCAGGCCGAGCTCGAAGAACAAAAGGCATTGCTTCTGGAATGGCAAAGCAAATTCTCGGAGCGCGGGCCCTCGCAAGAAGACCAGCTTGTTGAACACACCACCAGGTTGGCACGTGTGCACTTGCTGCACAGGCCAACAAGTAATCATGGCAGGCTTGAGGCCGACCTCATGAAAATCAGTCATGTGACATGTGTTGCTATCCGGTGTACGATGCTTCACCACATTTGTGAAAGCATTGTAGGGGCCCGGCCCGGGAGATGACCCGGGAGACTTATCGTTTCCTGTGCTTTGATCCCAAGGCGAGAAAAGGATTTCAACAACCAGCTGGAGAAGGTTTCTCAACTGAACTAGACTAGTGCATAGAAGACTTGACAGCTTGCAGGCGCACGACGCCGCAAGCCGTGAGTTAGAAGCCGCCAGAGAGGCACACGCTGAGGCGGTGTATACTCTAGAGAGGACCCGCTGGATGTTGAATTGGGTCTGAGACAACTTTGTCACAGCAGGACACACGAACGGGACCTCTCCGAGATGCAGGAAGCCAGCGCGGCGCAGTCCCGAGCATCCCCTCAGAGTCTTCAGCAGAGCATTGTGATGCGATGGTTTGAAGCGTTTGATACATTGCTTGTCACACGAACGTGCAAACAACAATTGGTAACATTCTTTGTGCTGGAGGCAGAAGTGGCATCTCTTCGAGCTGAACTCGAAGCCGAGGCACCGCGCCGTAAGCGACTGTAGCTGGTAGGCCTGTGCGGTGCCCTGCGTTGTCCTCAGGCGGACCGCCTTCGCCGCGAGCTCCGTGAGTTGCAGGGATCGGATCAAAGCGGCCGGCGTCTGCTGGAGGCGATCGTCGCACAGTCGCGTAGCATCACGTGGCATCGCGTAGCATCGCGTAGCATGGCTGAGTTGCTGAGCTCAGCTCCCTCGCCAGGCGAAGGAGGCGGAGCTGGCTGAGGTTCAGGCCAAGCTCAAGGCGCGTACTGCTCTCCGCTCTCCGACTCCGTGCTCAGTGCCCTGGTGTGCACTTTTGCCGATTTTCCTTGGTCGCTTGCAAGGACTTGGAGTCGAAGCTGGAAGAAGCTCGAAGAGAAGCCGAAGAGGCCTCGCTTCAGAACTTTGGAGCTTGCGGATCCTCTAGCAACGATGAGGAGCGCCGCCTGAAGCGTATTCTAGAAGAGCAGGCTGCCCGAGCCTCAAAGAGAAATCCATAGCATAGCAATCTTCAGCTCACGAAGCTCAAGGCAGCCGCAAACTCCGAGTTACAAGCTCTTCAAGGTGCTGGTGCATGTCTGGCATACCCAACAAGCAAGGAATGGGTGGCAGAAAGACAGCGACGCAGGTGAAGTCGAGAAAACACAGGCTTTGCATGTGGCAGAGATAGAGCGTCTGTTCAAGCCTCAGTGAACAGTACGTCGCCTGATCACAGAGGGCGCCCAGTTAGTGGTCGACGGTCAAGTGCTTCAAGCTTCTGGCACTCCATTCATTGTGATGATTCGAGGCATTTCGAGGCAAGAAAAGAAGCCGCCCTGCTGGCCGAGAAGCAACAGAAAGAATTGCAGAGCCTGCGCGAGGACAGCCTCGCGGGGAGCCCAAATCCGCCTCTGCGATGCTTCGGCTGGGGCTGGGGCCACGATCGAAAGCTCAGGGCCGGCAGGAAATCTCCAGAGCACCAACATACTTCTGAATGAGCCCATTTCAGAGCATTTCGCCGGCGAGTGGAAAGAGAAGCCAGGAGATGATGAAAGCTCTCGAAAGCCGCGGTCGCGAAGGGCTCGCAGAGGTCCACAGACTCCAAGACGAACTCAGGCGCAGCGCAGCGTAGCTTCACACGTGGCAGCAGAATCCGCGGTGGCAGCTGTGGGAGGCGCCTTCAAGACGCACATGAGTCTGAGACAAGGCAAAGCAGGGATCGCGACCATGGACAGCTGCCGTACAATGCAATGTGCTCGTCCTCAGGGGGCTCAAGCAGAAAATCGAAGAGCTTGAGGAGGCACTTCAGGCCACAACGCGAGATGGGCAGGACCGGATCTCTGACTCTCAGCAAGATTCAGCAAGGTATTTGAGTCCATCCGAGCTAGGCAGAGGTGCAGCGGCTAATGGCCTCATCTCGCTTGGAGATTGAGAAGGCCTCGCCGTGCAGACATGTGCAGACATTACGGTTGTTGGAAATGGTGTGCAGGTCAAGACTGAAGGTGTGGAGATGGTCCAGCGGCTAAATGTCGAGCATGAGGTTCAGCAGTGTTCAGTGTGGTGTCGGCTCAGCCATGCCATGCCATGCCTCATCTTTTCAGGCCAAGCTGGAAGAGGTCTTCAAAGCACAGTCTGAAGCACTGGACCAGTTGCAGCAGAAGTTGGGAAAGTCCCATCAGGCAAGCATCAAGCAGCCCGAACGTGCTTGCTTACGGGGTTCTAGCCGTTCTTGCTCTTCGCTCGGAGGAGCGGGTGGATGAAATGCGTCAGAAGCATCTCCGAGAAACAGACAACCTCAAGGCCTCCGCTGATGTCTTTTCGGAGCTAGAATGCTGCGATAGCGATAACAAGCCCGCGAGATACCATCAAGACTCTCACACCTTTCCTGATCTCTGGCTTCGCTGTCGAGTGTCTGACAGACTGCGCATGCTGCCGAAGTGCGTGAAGCTGCAGCCACGCACAATGCCGCTATGAAGGAGGCTCCTTTGATGCACTCGACGCCATTGCAACGAGAGCAGGGAGTTGACGCTTTCACACGAGCAGGTTCGTGCTGAGATGGCCCAAGCTGTGCAAGAAGTGGAAGCATCTGCCAAAGTGGCAGCTGCAAGGCGCTTTATGCGCTTTCAATCGCTTGCCGCATCCTTGCCGAAACCGCATAGGCTTCGCATAGGCATCTGTTGGGCGTGTGTCGTAGTGGTGACAGCGACAGCCGTGATGCTCCAGTGGTCGCAGGCATGCTGAAGCGATGCAAGCCATCAGCACAGAGTTAGCTGCCGAAAGGGAGCAGCTCACGACCAGTCGCACGCAGGCAGGTGCAGCAACAGGAAACTACATGGCTCTCGACATCGGCTCCAAGGTGTTCAAACTTTATGACAGGTGACGAAGTTGAGCGGAGAATTGCAAACTTCTAGAGCAGCAATGATACAACTGGAGGCAGCGTACTCAGCATGTCTTCTCTTTTGTTGCATGCAGCCATGAGCTTTGCTCCTACTCATCGCTTTGAGGAGCAGTTCCGGGCGACTGCAGTGAAACACGACGAGATGATGAAGCATCAGCGCGAGGACGCGAAGTTGCAAATGTGGAATAGTCTCGACTGCATACTGGAAAGGTAAACACCGGTAGAATCTTAGAAGGCTGATAAAACTCAAGCTCTGCTTCGTTTTCTGAGTGGTGAGGTTCAGAGTGTCCACTTTGCTTGGTAGCACTGTTGAGATAAGCGAGCTGTCGATCGAGATCCGAGCAATTGATGGTGTCTTCGTTCGCGTTCGTGCCGAGGAGTTCGAGCGCGAGAAGCGTAACATCAAGGAACAACACAAGAGAGGACAGCCGCTGTCGCTGCGGTCACCGCTGTCGCCCACTTCCTTCCGTGCTGGAGCAGAGCGGACATGAGCAGACAACACGCAGGAGTCGAGCAGCTGCTAGAGGCCCACCTGAAGGCGTGTCGACTTGGGCCACACGCAGTTTCAAACACTGCATTCTGAATAAGTTTGCAAGAGGAGACGGTCGAATTGAAGCAGCAGTTTGACAGGGCCCGACAGCTGCAGGCACGAGTTGCGACCAGAGATATGTGTGAGGTACCATCCGCCAATCTCGGCTTTCAGCAGGGCCGCACCCGCCAGTTGCGACAGGAGATGCAAATAGACATGCTGCAAAAGAGGATTGTGGAGCAGTCAACTCAGACTGCATTGTGCCGGGTGGAGCACGGAGATGATGCCTAATGTTGTAGCAGCTGTAGCATGAACTGTGGCCTGGAGGCTGCAGGAGCTGTATGAGTCGAGACCTTCCCGGGAAGAGGCATGAAGACTAGCATAAATTGGAAGGGACTGGATGTGAGAACGCAGAAGGACTTGGAGCTTATCGCCAATCTGGAGAAGGATTTGGATGAGAAATCTGCGCAGGTGAAAAAGCCAAAGCCACGGCTTTTTTGTCTTTGTGCTCTTGTTCAGCTGCCGAGGCCTGCCGGCCGACTGTGCACCAAGGCTCCTCGATGACATGCAGTTCTACAAGCTGGAGCTTGTGAACCGAGAGCAGAACTACAACAAGGCAGAGGGGGATAGGTGAAGTGCCACAGTGCCGCAGAGTGCGACTTTTCGGCATCGTGAAAGCTCGCAGGTTTTCGGAGCGGCACCGACAGTCGGCATCATGAATCCCATTGCGGCAAAGAAGCCTGCCAATGGTGGACAACCACAAATGCGTGTTGTCCAGCAGCCGGTTGCCAAGCAGCGAAGGATTTCTCGTGACACCATGGCATAGCTTGCGGATGAGAGCAGCACAGGCCTGGATCAGGAATGGCTGGAATGAATGTGGGCTTGCCTCCGCCACGATCTCAATTGTGCAGTTGCAATTGGTTTCTGAGCATTCTGACAATGGCAGCCTGAGCAAGGCTGGGGATGACTCCTGCCCCGACCCGAAGCAGCAGCAACAAGCCTAGCAACATCCAGAAGTCCTCGGCTAAGCATCTCCCAGTGCTTCTTGTGCAGCGAGCTTCTCATGGTCCGTCCGCCGGTTTCCTTTGATGTGTTCTTTCGTTTGTGTCCAAGGAGGCCTTCGAGCGGGAGCATGCGACGCGCAGGGTCCATGGAGTAGTTTCGAAACATAGCATCACCTCGCCATGTCACCATGTCTCACCCACAGAATCCATGCATGCTGTTTCACGGCCTTGCGGCACGACTGCAAATGAATATGTGCTCGTTGGTGCTGCAATGCCTTGTGCTCATTTCGACCGAAAACTTCCGAGGGCACGAAGAGGGCTGTGACCCACCAACTGCCACGGTTCGTGCGTCAGCTCGATTTGGAGCTTGTGCTCATTGTCATGCGCGCAACAAGCTACAGGCGCCTTCCGAATGGGGCTGGCTGTTTGGCTGAAGGTGTAGTTAGAAAGGACATGGAAAGCCGCTTCCATGAAACACTCACTTCCGCACCTTTTCGCACTGTGTTTGCGAGAAGAAACGGCGAATGGCGGCCTTGAGTTTCATGCATGTTCGACGCACGTGAACACTAGCTGCCACTAGCTCAGCAGCTCAGAAAGTGCCATGCCAAAAACAAAGAAAAAGTCCAAGAAACAACTGGAGGCATATCATGTTCTTGTGCAAGCAGAGCTTCTTTCATGTTTTTGCAGTACGCTTCCCTTTGTCGGCAGCACACGACCAGGATGAGTTACAGAAGGCAGCAGAAGAGCAACGGCGCCATGAAGAAAAAGAACGTCTGTTCAAGTTGGAGGAGGCGGGCAAGTTTGCAAAGTCTCGCAGCAAGCATGAAGCTCGGGCATGCTTTCACTGCGCAATTCCCGCCGACAATTACTTATTCAATTCTTCATTAACCGAGTAATGAATACCTCATGTAAATGTAGATGTAGTTGCAGCGGCTGGCTTAACCAAACCCACATGGCCACATGGCTGGCAGTCACAGATCGAACAGAACGGTGTAGGCAGCAATGTTGAAGCTCAGGCACAGGCCAGGGCTTTTGGATGGAAAGACTTTGTTTACTTCTCCGCATGCAGTCAGTGTATTCCAGGTGTATTGTAGTGCCATGAAGTTCGTGCATGTGGTGGCAACACAGCGAACTCGTCTGCTCTGTGTGTCGAGGGAAATTCGTTCGATATGCTCTATTTTTGAGTCCATTTCTTATAGTGGCAGAGGCAGCGGCAGCGGATGGAAACACGGAACATCAAGGAAACCACTTTGTAAGTGTACAGAGAACAAACTGGGAGTCAATCTCGAGTGGTTCCTAGATGGCCCGGAGTTCCGATTGCTACGGCGGTGCCCGGCGCATGACAACAGAAACACCTCGGTTTGTCTCGCTCGGAGCTTGAGATGTCGCCAAGCGCCGCGCCAACGCAGAGTAGCTCCTGTCAGCAAATCTGGGCGATTGTCTGCAAATCGAGTCAGAAACCAGCAGCTGCCTGTCGCAAAAGGGGCGGCCTCGAGTCAAAAGCCAACAGCCGGGGGAGGCGAAAACCAGGAAGCTCCAACCAGTAAGCCGCAAGCTTAATATGGGAAGCAGGAAACAAGATCTACCACGCAGTGCCTCATCTTGCACCCACAAGTAGCTGTATGATAGTTTACATTACTGTCTGTACGTCTCCAGAGATGGGCTGGTCGTATTTGATGCTGACATGTCGGGCAAGTTTACACTACATTTCCATAAACATGTCGTTGCGTTAGAGGTGCTGCCGTTGCACGGCATTTCCTTGGTGTTTGCCGTTTCGTGCCTTTCCGGTGACCTCGCATATCGCTGGCTTCGGAAAGAGCGTGACTCTGAAATGTCGCGCAAGTTACGTTGGAGGTGCTGCTGTCGCATGGCACTTACTTGGTGTTTGCCGTTTCGGGCTGGGGCGCCTCGGATAGTTGCTCTGGGGTTTGCTGACTGCGACTGTGCTGTTCATGACTTGCATCCGGCCTGCTTGCTGATTCCGCCCCTGATGCTTTTGACTCTTTTTGCTGACTCAGACCCTGCCCCAGGCCAACCGGGTGTTGTGTCATCACGATCCGCTAGATCTAATTCGTGGAGGTGGTTTCTGTTGGCCTTCCGTGCTCTACAAGCAGTTGTTTTTCCGCAGCAGCTGAGTCGATTTGATTTGTCAGCATGGGAGCTGATGTCAGCTTTGTTTCAGAGCACATGAGATCTGTGCGATCCACCGTTTGGAGAAGAGTGGGAGCCCTCTGCCAGAGTGCCCCGTCGGGTCTTCGGGCTTTCGGTTGTGGTTGGGTTTGCTGGGTCTTGTCCTGGGGGTTTGGTTGGTTCTTGTGGGCTTCGGGCTTGACGGCGCGGTAGGATCCCGTGGGGTGAACACTTGCTGGGCACGAAGTGGGATCCGGGAGTGCCTTTGTAGGAGGAAGTTCGACAGCTTTGGAGCTTCTGGAGTTTCAGCATGCCTAGACAATTAATCATGGGACTGTTTTGGCTCAAGGCTTGAGCAGTCTGTTCGAATGCCGGTGCAAATCTCTGAGTTCTGGATGCTGTCCAATCCCTCAGCATTCAAAGTTTCGTTCGCCACAGAAACTACCGAGATCAGCTCACACACGTACCGAGTGGCGATCCCTTGAGGCCCTTGAGTTCAAAGCTATTTTGAGCTTCCGATGCCCGAGTTCACCAACAGAGATCGCTTGTGTTCACAGCTGAACCAAGCATGGCTTAGGGTTATGCGATGGACGTCAGATCGCTCGTCCCGTGAATGTGCGTGGCCAAGACGCAGCTGAAAACCCAGTCCCCGATTAGCAGGGGCCCTCCAAAATCAGCTCTCAAGCCAATTCAGCAAGCCGGGGGCTGTGGCGATTTGCTTCTAGGGGAGAAAAGCACCTGTAAAGAATACACGGCGCACGAATGTTGGCACTGGCCAGTGAATATCATGAAGCCACCGGTGCACAGGGGGGTTGACTTAGACGATTTCAGTTCTGCTCCCGCAAGAGGAGAACAAGGAGGGTAACACGCGACTTCATTTATTGTCGTTTCTGGGTTTCAGAGTTCAGTTCGATCGATGCCTCGCGATTTGCGATGTTGGAATTTCAATAAGCAGCTGCCCCACTCCGTGAAGGATGCTCTGGCTGCCCATCGGGAGCGCCTGGAAATTGAGCTGGAAGGTAAGAACCGCGTGTTAGAAGCGGAGCGATTAGAGGCTGGGCAAGATTCCTTAAATGGGGAGGTCGCATTTTGCAATTGTCATGTGCTGACTTGCACTGCGAGGAGGAGCAAGAGATTGTTGCTCGTACTGCCGCCTGGTTTGCGGACACCGAGATGCACCGCGCCGCTATCCCATATGTTTGGCAGGAATGAAGGGGGAGCGGAAGCGATGCCTAGACTATGAGCAGCTCCAATCTTGGTTGCAATACAAGTAGCTCAAGGGAGCGCCGGTAGATGACAGAGTAAGGTCAAAGCTCCAAGAGAAGATTGAATGGCAGAAGTTCGTGTCCTGCACGTCACGCCCGAATGTCATGCATCGTGCTCAGTGCGAAGACTACAACGCAGCCGCCACAGCTCGGCCAGATGTGACTCTAAGGTTTGAAAGCGAGATTACCACATATGTCACGATGGTTCGCCCTATTCTCGGTATTCGACACTTAGACTTTGGTTGATTGGGTGAAAGCCGCTGCTCTGTCTGGCAGGTGAGGAGAAATCAGATCGGGAGTCCATGGAGTCTGCCATCGAGAAGTGCAAGGCCGCAGAGGAGGTTGCCCGCTTCTTGGCAAACCTTCGCACGGACTTGGGGCCGCATGTCCTGGCCATCGATCTACAGGTCGGTGACCTCCTGGAATTGTACTGCAAAGCTTGCGAAGAGGGCGATGTCATCAGACAAGACTGGTTCCAGCCTGAGTTCCGCCTCGCATGCACGAACTGCAGATCCGCACATGTCCATTTCCCAGGTGCATGCACTACATCGCAGAGATCCGCGAACTGGAAATCGAGTTGATAGATGCAGCAACGGCGCATTTGCCCTCTCCTCAGCTTTTGCAAGAAACTTGCGAGTCCGCAGAGCACGTGCTTTGTCACGCTTGTTCCTGCGAGCCTCTGAGCTCGCTTTGGCCAGAAAGCCTTTCAAGCCAGCCATGGCATCGATCAAAGCTCCTGTCGTCCTAGTTTTGAAACCGGGTCCAAAGTCGATCGTCGGTTCCTCTCCGTCTTCCTCGCAGGCCATGTTTTCACAAGCCGAAGTCGGACCGGCCAGGCACAGACATCTGGTCTAACTTTTTGTTCGAATCTTTTCACCGTGCTGGTAGCTGAAGGCTCAAGATGCATTGCTTAGATAGTAACTTTAACCTGTGCTACAATTATTCCGCTTTGCTTCTCGACCCAATTTCTTGATACACAGACGACCCCATCTTCCCCCCTTCCGGCCTCCGCGAAGTAAGTGGAGCCGAGCAATGCTTGTGTTACTTTGTTGGTGAGTGTAATCGAGATTGTCTCGTCGGACCTGCCTCATCTTGCTACCGCGACTCCACATTGTCACAGGTTGTATGCATTGGGCAGTCCAAATGCTACAGTGCGAGTGCTGCTTGAGAATCTGCACCAGGATAGGTTATGGTTATGGGGGCTCAGGCTCTTTATCAGGGGGCTCAGATTCTTAGCTCACTCTTGACTAGGACTCGATCGAACCAGCAACCAATGCCTTCAGAAACGACGTTGTAGCCGCAAGCCATCACTAGCATTCTTCCGGTCCATCGGTTTATGAGGTTTCTACGACTTGGAACATGCCCGTGTGAATCCTGTACAATCTGAGGCTCAGAGTCTTAATTTGGAGGTCTCCTGATTCTTACTTTGGAAATTTTCGAATTGGGAGCTTCTGGTGTAAATCCCTAGAAACAAAGCCCAGCAAAGAAAATACAACCCACACTGCGCGTGGGCAAACAGAGGAAGGTAATCTTGGCAAGGCATGGCAGGTCAATCGAATTGCGAGTGAAATCCAATAAGGAAATCGAGGACCGACGGCCAGGATCGATGGTTCAGATGTCACCGAAGCATGTGTGAAGGGCAGGCCAAGACTCGCGCGATGGCACTGGGGCTCCGTGGTCGGAGCCGTACACAGCTTGACCCTCTCAGGATTTTCTGACGGGACGATGCGAGCCTTGGGCCAGACCTCACGACATAGAGTCATCCTTGAGCACAAGCAAATGTACAAATGTACTCCCGGAGTCAACTGCTCCCTTGAGCGAGATCGGACAAGACTCACCATGACTGGAGAGCAGCGCACACCACCCTTCAATAGTGGACCAGGATGGACATCGCTGTTTGCTACGGCTTTGTCTTTACATGTGGCCATAAGGAACTGCGTCTCAGGAAGGACTTGTATTCCACTTCTCATTTTAGCATCGCGTGTGTTGTACATCGTCGTTCCCAGCATGCGCACAGACACAACTTGGACCGATTCTTTCAGCAACTCCATAGACATGTGCCTCGGACGTGCTTAAGACCTACCTTCAATGGGTCTTCTTGCGGGAAATCTGTGCGACACATATGAAGCCGGATCTTGTCGGAAACTTTCTTGCCCTTCCCACTGCTGTTGACCCAAGCGATCTCACAGTCTCTTAGGTTAGGTGCGACCTTGTTGGCGTTGTCATTTGATCTGGAGCACGGTGAGGTTTTGGAACAACTTCATGTGATTCGCATGAATTCCGATGTATAGGCAAAGGCCGGCGTATGCCTCCTCAAAACACATCTTTGTTATTCGGCTGCAAAGGGCACGACAGGCCATTCGCCTAGAGTCGGTCGCAACGTAATATCGATTGGCACATCAGTTGCATGACTACCAGATCCGATCGAAATTTGCTGTTCAGCGGTCGAAGGCGTAGTGGACGATTTTGCGGTCCAGCGGTCGAAAGTGTAGTGGCTTCAACAAGAGATCATTGTTTATCGGGCCAATTCAACACGGAATGCCTCTCACGTGGGGTCGGGACAAGTCATCACTTGACATGTCTATGCACGGAAGGCTTAGCTTTCTGCGGCCACAAGCCGACGATTAATTCAGGTTGCGTGGCTTCTTTGCAAAGCTTCATCTTTCGTTGCCCGAGCCGAGGCTACTATACATCGAGAAGCAGGAAGCGAACACATATTCACAGGTGTGGGTTGCAAGCAGAGAGTGTTCCGTGTTTGACCAGTTGCACAACACGCATCCTCGAGATCTTGTCTTCGAGGTGTACCTGCAGTGGGGCAATGCTATTGATGCTTTGAAGGCTTTGAACGGTCTGTCGCCGGTAGTGAGATTTTCTGCCTTGGGATTGCCGTCAGGTCGGATTTTGGGGCCACTTGCAAAGCAAGGGGTTCCGTGCCAAGTCCATCGAGCACAGCAAGATTCAGATAGGAGAGCATCGGACGTTTGGAATTCGTCATCCGCGATCAACGATGGCCCAACATGAAGAAAGGACTAGATCTGCCCAAAGCGATTCAGATGCAGTCCGCCGGACATTGCATTGGTGTGCCCAACTTGGTCATTGTCAGCGTGTCTGTGGCTTGCCGCCGTCGTCTTGGCGCGATTGCCTTGTGGTGTTAAGGTGCGGTCCTTGTACACGACCTTCGACAGTGCACAGGGTAAAGACCCACAAATGGGAATAGGAGGAATGATCCGTGCCAAGTTCTTAGACATGCCGAGTGTTTGTGCATCCCTGCGCGACATGCTCAGTTTGTACGCCGAGGTGGACTTGTTGTCGATTCCTCCATTCAGCAAAAAGGTCAAAGGCTGGACCATCCGTCAGGTCCCTGCTCCTGGCAAGGACCCTTCCACACAGTGATGATAGGAGAATGCTTCAGGAAGTTTCATGTCCCGAAGGAACTCATGAAGCTGCCTTATCCGAACACGGAGCACACCACGGTCCCGCTGATCTGTGCAGGATGTAGCAGCCGCCGGCATTTTGTACGCATGACAGGCCAGTACTGCGATCGCAGCTCCCTGCAAGATTGACTACAAGGCCAACGCCTGCATCGCCAATGTACCCGAGACACGCTGGAGGTGTTTCCATGATACGAAACATAGCGAAGTCGAAAATTAAATCCCAGAGTGGTCCACCGTCGTGCGACATGGCTGCCCTGAGAGCACACCTTACCGGCAGGCGGTGCTGTCATCCCCCCTCCTTTGTGCGCACATGCCACGACATCAACATGTGCATGTAGTTTTCGAAATTGTTCAATATTGTCTTGCGGGCAACTCCAACTTGGTTTTGCGAAGGCTTTGCTTTGACGACCGTTCCTTGAGAGGTTCCAGCCCACGTGCTGGTCAGCAAGAGCCCTGTGGTCTCCTGGTGGGATGCCCGTCCCTTACCGAAGTTTCTGTCTGGTATGCCAGGTGACGGCATCTGTTCTAAGGCATCGCTGGAGCGCTGGTCAACAGAAGGTATTAGCGAAATTACTTGGGAGGAGGCCATTTAGGCCTTCAAGTCGCTCGGGTTGCTGTGGCCTGTGCCATTGCACAGGACACACGCAAGATCTCCTTCTTCACTGCACGGCTTGCATCTTTTTCCATTACGCAGGACGATGCATCCAAATTGTTTGTTGCCAGCATGAAGCTTTCAGAGGGGCTGCAATCTTCCCGTCCCGTCTTGAAGGAGAGGCACATTGACCTGCCCTACAAACACTGGAACATGAGGAGCTTTGCTGACATCGCTTTCAGAGAGCTTGCGCTGGTTTCACCAGCAGGCCATGTGATGATCTCACCGTGGAGCTGACAGTGCAGGCGGATGTCTCTTGAAGTCTTGAAGTGCGCTGCAGACACTCATAGCCTGCGTGACTCATGAGGCGGCCAGGTACGAGCTTCGTTTCATGATCTCGGAGGATGGTCTGAGGCCGGGTCCGTGGGCCCCGTTTAGCAAGGCCCGAAATCCGTCTCTGTACCCCGTCTCGAGGCTCAAGGGGCCTCAGATGCCTGAGCTGCTGGACGTGATGCCTGCTCGGCAAGCTTGCTGCGCCAAAGAGGCTTCGTACAGTGCGGTGGCTGGCAGGTTTGAAGCTGGCAGTGGCGAGGCTCGCATGGCCACGTGGCAGTGGTGCAAATGTGTGCTGTGTTTTGAATCGCGGACGCTTTGGCAGGCGGGTGGCCTCAGCGGCCGTCGACCTCGTGTGCGCAGCCGGGCAGCCCAAGAGAGACCACAAGTGGTGAAATGAAAAAAACTGATGTAAACATGTACACCCGTGCATCTCCCCTGCAAACAAAGCTCGAACATTTGTAAATCTGGCTCAGGCCCGGCGACTCTCTTGAATGAGCTTCGAGAGTGTGGCTTGAATCTGATGCCCAAGGCCCCGGTGACTCTAGTGCCTGCCAAGACTCCAAACCAGATGCTTGCAAAGGGGCTTGTGAGACAGCGGCGGACTTCAGAAACCTGCAGCCACTGGTTCCCATCCATAGTCCGTCTAGCAGTCCTTCTAGTAGCAAATACGGCAAGTCAGAGGTACGGAGGCACAGGAAGGCTTGGAGCGAGGCTCGGAAATAGGTCGTAGTATCGAAGTTAAAGCAGGGCCGAATGAGCTTCCAACTTCAGTGAACGTCGACCCTACGCCCTGGATCTCGGAGAAGAGCGCATATAGTGCTTCTCATGCGCCAGAACTCGGATGCCGACCAGCTCGAGGGCTACACGCCGAAGCATCCAGAAACGCAGGCGCAAGCTGCGACGTTGTGAGTTTCGTAATTTGGACGGTTTCATGCCAGAGAAACACCCTGAGGAAGAGAGAGGGATAGGGTGTAGCCATTTTGGCTCAAGCCGTGAGTGGTTCAAGGAAGGGTGGCCTCTCTGCCCTTCTTCTCTTCCCGCTCCTTCTTCTCGAGGCCATCCTTCCTTGTCCGCCTCTCTTCTGCAGCGATTGCTGAACGAGGTGAACTAAATCTGTGTGCTCTTCTCCGTTCTTGCTAACGCCGGCAAGATCGTCGGTCGGTCTAGCACGGTGACCGCTGCCCCTGCTTTTTCCGCCCTCCTTGACCGGTCTGTGACCTGCTACCCAAAAAAGATCTAAAAAAGACTTTGGGCGGCGAGCTACCTGCAGGCGTGCCAGGACCTGGGCCAGGATCTGGCCTTTCGATCTTCAATCGGGCCAGCTCGGGGGGAAGACCTCAATTCACCCAAAAAGCGTCCATCAAAACACCTTGCGGGGGAGAGCCTAGTAGGGAGAGAGCGGAACTTCGCACAGAGATCAACAACGCCCTGGCCGGGGTTAACACCCGAGTTATCGATTTGGAGCAAGGCTTGGAGCAACAGGGGACCCGGACGCTGCAGGCGCTGGAAACCATGCATACCTTCCAGGCTGAGCAGGCTCCCCCTGCAGAGGATCCAGGACGACATTGGGGCACGCATGACCACCCTGGAGAACAAGATGAGGACGATGCAATCTGCGCGGAGTACCCCGTCTACTCCCGCATTGGTAATTTGGGGGTTGGCCTCCCGACACTGGCATCCGAGGTACTCGAGCACGAGACTTACAGCTCGATTTGAGTCTTGAGGATGCCTTCGTTCCAGGAGTGAGACGGGGCCTCCCAGTGTCCTGCCAGGACGGTGAGAGTGAAGAGCAAATGCGCCATCGAGCACAGCATTGCATTCGTCGGGTTCACCAGGCCAACATCTGCTTGGGACGCAAACCGGACGGAAACAAGAGACGGCGACGAGCGGCACTGGCAGAGAAGGTTAAACGGTTGATAATTGAATGCTGAGGGACGGGGAAATCCCTGCGATCGAACCCGAGTGGCCGACTTTAACTGCGTGGCTTCGCTCCACGAAAGTTGCATCGGGGTCTTCGGCACCGCCACCTTTTGCTGTTCAGGCCGGTTGCGGTTGGGTTGATCTCGCGGCCATCTCGCGCCTGCTGGGAATCTCCCAGTCAGAGGTAAAGGAGGCGTGGCAGCCGCTTTGTGCGGCCCTCAACTGAGAAGACGGAATCACTACAGCTGCAGGGGATTTTCCTTCTTGAGTGTCACCTGACCAGGGGAGTCCAAACCGAGACTCCTCAGACTTTCGTTGGTGTGGCCACTTGGAGCGTTGGCGGCATGTCTTCGGATTCATTCCTGGACTTCCTCGCCAACCTTCCAAGGGCCCCCCTGAGCTGCGTGAGTTGCGAGCAGTTCTCCTCCAAGAGGTTACAACTAAAGGTGGCCCGGGCACCGCAGCTCACAGCTGGGGGAAGCTCACAGCCATGGACCGTGCGGAAGATTTGTTCTTTGTCATAGGCATGGTGGAGAGAGGAGCCCTGCAGTTGCTGGAACCGCTCCCGGGGGACATATCCCGAAGCATGCTGCAGGGGGCGACACAACGGCTGCAGCAGGCTGTCCACATGCTCATAGGAGCACGGGACCAGGCCTTGCAAGGTCACTTGGACTGGCATCGGCAAGCTTTTTGGCAGGAGATCGAGCAACTAGTTTCTCCTGCCAATGTCCTCGTGGAGCGGAGGGGGGACGCCTTCTGCGAAGATGGGCTACCTGAAGTTGTACACCCCGCGGACGCTCTTGGCCTAGCACGAGGGGGAGAAGAAGCCATGGCCCGTACCTGCACGGAGAGCAGTACTGCGCTGTTGTTGTGCGACGCGACCGAGGACTTCAAGCGAATAGTCCCAAGCCTGGAGGGGGAGCAACGACGCCAATCGCAGATTGGGGGACAGATCGCGGTCCACGACGGGACGCAGACCGAGGACCCGCAAGCGGAGGCACGCCGAGCAGCCGGGGGAGAATGTGAACCAAGCGGAAGACTCCACCGAGCAGCAGGGGGAGAACGTGAACCCAGCGGGACTGCTACAAGGCAGCGGAGTCGAAGCCAGAGCAAAACCTGTACCAAGACTGCATGGAGCCTGCCAGGAGGGAACCTGCTGATCCCATCCCTGGCACCAGCAGCCATGGCAAATGGCTAGGGCTGCGGGGGACAGAAAGCCAAGCAAACCAGATGCTCGGCAGCTTGGCACAAGACCTTGACGAGTTGGGGGAGAACCCGACCTGGAAACCAGCGAGCAAAGGGGAGACAGTGAAGAAAGTGAAGGCTCTGTGGAAGACCAGACAAGTCTACCTCTGCCCGGGGGGAGACCGCAATGATACCGGATGGTGACGGAAGTGAGTCGCCACAAGACAGCGACACCAGCCACAGTAGGCGAAGAGCCCATGCGGGGTGTGAGTGAGTTTTCAGTGACCGATGTCGACCCACCCCTCTCACCTGGCCATGTACTTAGTCCACATACTTGTACATTGTGTCTGCTTACTACTAGGCCAGGGGGAGGGGGGGGCACGAAGGCCCGTTTTGCAGTGCTTCTTGCCAGTGCAGCGATGCAGGGGGAATGTGGTTTGGTTCCGAAGGTTGTCATGTGGGCTGTGTGAGCCTAGTGTTTTTTGTAACTCCGTTGCTGCACGTCGATAGCCCATGGTCCGGCCCGCAGATCTTGCTGTTGTTGCTTGGCAGTCTGTGTTCGTGTGCACGAGTGTATCTGCTGATACTTTCCAAGGGGGAAGGGCAGGGCCAAGCAGGGGAAAATTCCCTGCGGAAGTATCCGAGAGCCGAGCTCGACGTTGCAAAGGGGGAGTCTTATGCCTTGATAAGTTTGACGTAGATCACTTTGTTGTTTCAGTTGTGATGTCGAGGAGGGGAGTCTTTCTGTAAAGCTGAGCCCCATGCAGAACAACTGTATGGGGGCGAGTGAGACACCCCAGGACATGCGGGTGCGCGCACGCGTGCGAGCTTCAGGGTCGGACCGCCCTGGGGCTCCCACCTCGTCGAGAGAGAGAGAGAGAGAGAGAGAGAGAGAGAGAGACGAATGGAGAGGGACCGGACTTGCGTTTCACAAAACCCTAGGGAAGCACTCCCACACTAGTCCCACACTGCAATCTCCACTGTTGCATGTTCCACTGTACTCATGGGTGGAAAACTGGTTTGCCGAGGAGGGCCTCGCAAAACTGCCCATGAGGGGCAACAAGGAGGCAACAGTCAGGGAGGCCTTCCGACAGCGCGGTTGAGACAAACCCGGAAAGTACGGCATGGATGGTTGGCATCACGCGATGTCTCCTCGGGATCCTCAGTTTGCCCTGTTCGGCCATTGTATTTGGTGTCTGGAAACTTGGCTTCTGCAAGGACCTGCCTCAATGGCCGAACCTAGTTATGACAATTTGAGGTGATCTATCTAGAAGCGGGGCTCAGCTTACAACCGCGGTTCGGAGCACTGCCAATACAAAGGCTACAATGCGAAGAACACGTTGTCGGAGTACAACCAAGACAACGTCTCCGTGCCCCGTAGCTTTTGTCGCTCCCTGCTTAAGTTTGCTCGCTTCACAGCGAGCAGGAAGTCATAGCCGTCATAGCCATAGCCGGCATGTTTGGGGTGCACTGCTAAACAAAAGGAAGGGTGCGGGCCGCATCGGCTCTGAGAGAGCGCTTTGCAGAGCTGGAATAGCACAATACCACAGGGGATCATGCAGGGTGCGAGGCAGTGCGAGGTTCGGTGGGAGTTTCGCCCAGCAAGAGACAGGCACTGAGAACGAGAGGCTGCAGTTCCCATCTTCTGCCTTAAGACCAACACAAGCCGAAGAAACACAAAGCAGGCTCGTGCATACTCCGATCTGAGCGAAATCGCGGCATACTACGACATCGCCTCGTCCGTGCACAACAAGGACATCCTCGATATGGCGGAACGCTGGTAGCGTGGCCGACCTTGAATTTCAGGACTTGCCGGCAGAGCGTGCGCTCGTGCGCATTCGAGAAAATGAGTTGCACGAGGCGAGGATGCGCAGCTGTTTCAGCTAAAGTTCAAGGTTTTAACTGCACCCAGGTTTTCAATCCAATGGATCCAGATGGTGATGCTGACTATCAAGCCCTGATGTTCTTCCCAGACAAGTGCTGTTTTGTACAGTGGTGCCTGCATGTTACACGGATGTTGTAACGGGTGACCTCCGGTAGTGCCAGGTCGCTCGAAGGGATTTCGCCATGCAGGGAGGCGCAGAGCATCGCAGAACTGCAGATTGGTCAGAGCAGGGGATATTGTTGCTTTCAGTCGCAGGCCATGGCGCCAGGCCATGTGACCCATTCGAGCCTATATCTTTGCTTCGCTTGCAGCTGAGAGCTGACAGAGTCGACACGAAGTCGCACGAGTCCAGCAACTTTCCGATATTTCCGCGCTTCAGGACAAGCACCCGTCGCCGGGGCCTGCTCACTCCGAGCAACTTCAACGTTTGGAAGTAACGCTGCAACCCGAGAGACAAGCCGACCTTTCCATGTTGGTGAGCTTTTGTGACAGATCAATGCACAAATCTTACAGATGTTCAGGACATCCACAGTCCGTTTCGTGGAGGCAGTGCGGCCGCTGCCCTAGAAGTGCTTGCAATGGTGATGAGCTTCACATTGTTTGGATAAAGCTGCAGCAAAATTACAGGTCGAGCTCAGGGTTTGTGTTGTCCGCTGTCGTACTCAGCGCTCCGTCTGTTTGTCATTCATTATTGCAAATCGGTTCCTAGAGTTTTGAAGACTCTGGGCAGTAAGCGACAGCTGTATCAATGACAGCCTCGTTCTTGCTGTTGGTCTTCAGCTGTTCCTAGCTTGCCAGCTGCAGTCCGAATCTCCAGACGAGAAGCTCAGTGCTGGGAGGAGACTAGAGAGAAGCACGGAGTCCGCAGTGACACAAAATGCTGGGCTCCCCCAACAAGCATGTAAGGGGCATGTAAGAGCCCGTGTCTGATCAGGTGGACATGGAGAAAGCAAAGCCAGAGGGGAAAACGGACAGCAGCAAAGAAGAAAACCAAACACATGACCTGACACATCCTGACACTCTGCGATCTGATCAGTGAAAGCAAACTTCTCTGAGGGCCACAACTCCGTTGCAGTGCCACATCTGTATCTTTTCTGATGATACTGATGATTGTTATGCAGCAAGGTTCATATCTGTCATGCCTCAGCTCTAGAGATCTCAAGGTCAACGCTTGCTGCACTTGGTACTTTGACGTTGGCTTAGGTTAGGTCGGTAAGGTCAACGGTGAGGTGGCATTGCGCAAGATTGTGAAAGCAATGGTTGGGTTGGATAAGGGCGGGATAGCTTGGTCTGCTTGCGTTACAAGGAGGGATTGCATAATCCAACCATCTCCGACACATGGTGCAGTCACTGATGTCTGCTGGCTTGCTGAGGCAAACGATGCAACTTATGCATCTCCTTTCGTTCGTGTGAGGGCGGCAGTTTGTGTTCGGATGGCATCGAGATCTTCTGAAAAAAATCTCAGAAGCGTTTCACAGTTTGCTGGTTCTTAATCGCCCCGAACGGGGGCGAATTTATTGGCATGTGCTTTGCAAGCAAAAGGGGGATTTGCCTTGGCTCACCTTGGACATACAGAATGGCATCTGTCCATCTTGCATCTTATACGCTTTGGTCTACTGCCCGTCGCCATTGAGACTGGGGTAGAACACCCCTCCGGTGTCTGCTTGTCATGGCAGACTCCGAGTCCGAGGATGATGAGTCCAAGCAAGTTGCTGCCTCACAAGTCTGTGTGCAACGCTGCTTCTGTTTGATGTCATCATGTGGCACAAGCACTTGCTTGCATGAATACGATGCCACAGTAACTTGCTATGCCTTCGTGCTCTAAATTTTAGCCCTTCGCCAGAAAATCATTCGTTGTGCAAATGCACAAGACGTGCTTGTATAGTTGTAGACCCTACCTCGGAGTGACAATCAATGCCTTTCAACAGCGCAATCCTCCAGTGCAGGGAGGACTTGCACGTGCTAGATGCCTCGACGGGCGTCGTGTGCTCAGGCTGGAGCGATCAACATCGCTGCCGACAGTGCAGACATAGTCACGGCAGACAAGGAGGCAAGGTAGCCGAAGGTAGCCGAAGTGCACATGGGATTGTATAATAACCCTGCGCGTTTAGGTTTACGTAGTATCGGCATGTCCTTGTTCGGTTTCGGATGGTTGTCTATGGTAAAGTGAGAAGAACAAAATGAAATGATAGCAAAACGATAACGCACTTCTCATGGAAAACGAAAACGAACGATAACGACGTTCATAGATAATGATGTTGTTGCGGGGTTATTGTACACCCCCACATGATCCATGCCATCAAGCTAGTCAAGTCCAGTCGTGTTCAGCTTCAGCCGCGGTGAGCCTCCTATGTTTCTTCGGTTTGTGCCTGAGATCTTGAGGCCGTTAACACGACGGGGGAGGTCAAAGAGGCTGTGCAGGGCAACATGGTCTCCAGCGTTAACAGCGCCAGCAGGGCCTCGTAGACATCAACAACAATCATTCGTTCTTGACACAGCAGGTGGAAGAAAAAGTGGAGACTGCCACGAAGAAGGCACCCAAGCATCAGGTTTCTACATCACTCACGTTTGCCGAAGAAAAGTTTGGCTTGCACTGGCGACTTTTTACCAGGAGGAGTTGGATGACAAGCAAGGCCTCACCATGCTCTTGAGCCCAGGATGCGACACCGAATGTCGACAGTGTTGGAATATGCCAGTAGCCCGTGCACCGTGGGACCCTGCAGGTGGAGGCAAACCGCCCCGCACCCACAAACACCTTGCACTAATCCAGTGTGCGCGACAGCATGCATCAAGTCTCAGCTGTTGTGGTGCTGCCCGAGGTCTTACACTCTTCATATTCGGGGTCTCACGACTGGCGTAGCCCACTACTCAGTCACCTAGCCAGTCATCCAACCAGCTATCACTCACTCGGTTCTTGTTGTCTTTGTCTCTGTGTCTGTGTGGCGTCGGGTACAGGAGGGCAAACGCCACAGTTGCCGATCGTTTGTTGCACACGTTGCCTAGCTCTGTGCTGACATGTTCCTGATCATGTATGTTTAGCTCTAAGGACTTTCAGCAGTGGCTAGTCAGCCACTAGCCGAACCAAACTCCAAGATTTTGCAGCGTGTTTATTTCAAAGAACGGACTGTATCCTTCTTTTGTTCCTCGTTTCCCCTGCAGCGCACGGCCGTTGGTTTGAGTATTGGACCCGCGGTTGCGCCCGTGTCTGCGTCTTCGCCTCATCGCCATGTATCTTTTGGGGCTTCCGAAGTGCTTCTGTTTTCAAAGCCAGCTGATGTTGCAGTACTTTGCATCTCTTGACAAGCAAAGCCAGTCCGTCAACAATGCAACCCAGGTGGGCTGGGCACGGGAATGTGCAAAGTCCCACTCTAACCATCGCGCTTCGGCTCGACCGAGTCCAGTGACACACGTCTGCCCGGGGATGCTGTCGGATCAACTAGGCATTTGGGCGTGGGTTCATCATGAGTCGAAAAGTTTGCTTTCATCCTTTACGTCACTACTGCATGTAAATGTTGCTCCAGGCCGATACGGCCATTGAAGCTAGATGTGCCAGAAACCGTCGAATAATCCCTGAGACACTAGTGGAGGGCTCAAATCGCCGCAAAGGTGCGGAACATTGCAGCCCCAGAACCGGGAAAACCCGATTCGACATTCCCTTTTACCAGCCATCGCCCAACTGGCATCGCAGGCGTCGAGCGCAGCGAGCTAAGGGCAACGGATCCAGCGGATGCCTTCACCCAGTTTCTGCAAGATTCGATAAATACTACGCGGAAGTCGGAGCAGAAGGTGCGCAGCCTAGCTGCCACCCGCGCCCGTAAAGAAGCACCATGGGGCAAGTATGTGGAGGACATGAAGATGACACTACAGCGCGAACACCTCCGCCATCACAAGGAAATGGAGCGCATCACAATCGGGGGATATTGCGATGACCGCACTTCGCCTTACGAACCGACCGTAGGGTTGATCGTTTCCGCTCACGACCCCAACCGGAAAGAGAAAGGGGGGCCTAGGCGTGGGTTCGGGCAGCCGGACTCAGACCCGTCGGAAGGAAGGAAGGGGTGCGGCAGTGGGCGAATGTGGGCGAAGGGAGATGGCTGTCGGCCTTCGGGGGCTCGGCGAGACCCAGCGCACTCAGGATCTTGACGAGCTCAAGGTCCGGCTGGAACGCTTTGGTGAGGCCCGACAGCATCGCCACGGTGCCCGTGTGCATGCCAGTAGAAAGGTTGTGGACCTTCAGCAAGATGACGGCACTGTGGTGGCGAAGTTTTCGAAAACCAGTGAGGTAAAGCTCTGATTTTTGATCTCTCGGGACGTGGCTTGCTGAGCGAAATCCGTCCTAACTGGAGGCCTATGAGGCCCAGCAGAAACTGACGCTTGGTCCGGACGTTCTCATAGAGTCGGACTCTCGGCGGCTCTCTATTTTCAGGTTCACAGAGCTGTGGCGTCGGTTCGCCAAGGTTCGGCCCGCAAGATGCAGACCATTACAACCGAGCCAAGAAACGCGTCCCGTGCCGAGTCCCTGTTCTGCGAATGGGCTCAATGGCAAACCGATCTGTAAGTGGATTTTGTCTGGCATCCGCACAGATCAACCAGTACATGACACACACACACACACTGACACATCCGGAAGATCGCACCGGTATCGCGAGTTGAGTGCTTGTCTCTTCTCATGGTGCAACAGTCGCGCCGGCGGCGAGGTGCGGTTATGATAACAACACGGATGAGCGATTTTGAATTTGGTTTTAGCATTAGGAGGTTTCAATGCAGCAAAGGAGGACGGCTGGGATATTCAAGTCGCCCATGCGATATGGGTGACGCTTTTCAAGTCAGGTCGCCGGACCAAGTGATCTGAACACATTTTATATGAGCCGGTGTGGGTCAATGCATCCAAAACCGCTGGTTTCCGAAATCCGCTTCGGCACCGAGGGCCGCCGGCAAGACGCCGAAGATGGGCTTGGCACTCAGTAACTCACTCGCTGTCACTTCTGGCCCTGGCCTTTGATGGCCTCTGCGCTGTGAACGCTCTGCAGGGCTGGCGCTGGCAACAACAAAGGACCGGCACCGCATGGCTGACCCTGCCTTTCGCCTGTCGCAAACTTTGCAAGGACGTGGCCTCCGAGCA